CATCTGTACCTATTTTTAACCAAGATTTCAGAAAGGCATTTATGAGATGGAAAACAGATTTAGACCTGTTTTCATTCCCACCTCAAATTTGCACCCAGTTTAAGAAATCCCTCATTAGTGGAGATTTCAGCTGTCGCCAGTCACTAAAGCAAGACAAAGCAGCTAGCACAGGTACGGTGGAGGGGAGGCAGGTGCTGGCATTCAAGGTCTGGTTACTCGGGAACTGTGTGTCTAGATGAATCGTGATCTTAAAGAGCAGAATCAAGGATTTAAAAGATCGGTGTACTGATTCATCTGAATACCTTTGAGTATATGGTAAAATGACCTTATAAGGCATTTCATTATTAAGCAAATTTTTAGAGTAACACAGATAGAATACACACCCTCCAAATATTATAGTTATCTAAATTAGCAGCCCGCCATGACGCTGTGGCCCGTGCGAGTGGAAGGCTGCTGCTCTGCCGGTCTCCCCACTGTGCCAACACAGGGCTTTCGCTGCGTTTGCACTGATGCTCAGCTTTGCAGAGGGTTAAACGGATCCTAAATGGACAAGGAAACACTCCCTAAATAAATACGTGTGTGCCCTTTATTGACGATATTGGTCCTGCAGCAGGCAGCATAAGCTTTTCAGCTTATTAACTTACAAACGCATGATGTCATATGATTACATACCTTTTCTTCCACTTTAATCTTCTTCTGATCTAATTCTGTTAGTCGTAGTAGCATAAAAATTACGAACAACCAATATTCAGATTTTTCCTGTTTAAAATATTGAGAGATTATTCATTCCCTTCCTTTCCCCAAATTAATAAGCACCAGCACGCTACTTTCACGAGCACAGGTCTCTCACCTACCACCTACCCCGTCATTCACACCCCCTACAGCTTTCTACGTTTCCACGTTTACCGGCCTTGTAACCTATAAAGCTCTTTAAATGTGTGATCTTGTTGATCTCCCTGTGAGACACACAGGACAGGTAAGATTATCTTCATGTCTAAAGAGAAAAACAACTAAGCCTCGGTGAGATGAAGCATGTCATCTAAGCTTCCATGGCCAGTGACTCAAACCCTACCTTCTAATCCCAAAGTTTCATATAGCAAATAATGAAACATTATTTATTATTACTTTATCATGACTTATTATTCCTTTGTGTTGTTTTGTATTAATTTGTATCACTTATTATGAATATGTTTTACAATACCAAAATGATATTCGTTTATGGAACAAATTTCTTATTACTCCCTCTCATCTTCTGTGTTTGGATTATCTGCCTTTTAGAACTATAAAGTTTTTTGTATTAAGTTACATCTCTTTGAAGAGAAAGATATAAGTGGATGATACATTTTTTTTTTTATAGGTGAGACCATACATGAAATGAATATACAAAGGTATCTCTTTTGCACTTCAATATGTAAATTGGAGGGAGTTTGTGCATATAAATGAGTTAGGTGTGGAGAGGGGTTTGTGCTGTTTATTGATGCACATGCGCAAACACTACGTGGACTGGAAACATTGGTGGGTGATGACTACTTTAAGCCCTGCTGCTTTCTTTCAGAGATGCTTTTAAATTACCTGCCACTATTCCCATACTGAGGACTGTGTTTTTATTTTTAAATCTTATTTTTCATTTTTTATTTCTTTTTTTTGCTTGTCTGGACATGTTCATCAAGCTACACACAAAAAGAAAGGTACTTGGAGATACAGACAAATTCAAGAGTCTATAGAAAGGTAAGTGAAGGGTCAAGGTGGAAAAGTGGAATGAAGGACAAATGAACAGAGAGGGAAGGACAGAGGCCAGGAGAGAGGGGCTATCAGTGGAAACGAAGAGAGCCTGAAAAACAGTCTCGGGTCTTTGAATCCCAGAGCTAAAGAATCCACGGGAAATATCTTTTTTTTTTTCTATAATCATTTTCCAACACCACTGATTTCACAGCTATACCCAGGCAAAATACTTTAGGCATCTAATCTTAGATTTTCTCTCCCCTGTTATAAAATAGGAACCTCCAGCATCGCTCATTCTCTGGTGAAAGGACCTTGCTCCACAGTCTCAATAATCCCCTCCTGTAATCTCTACTACAATCTGGGATCAGTAGCCAACAAAGGCACAGAATAGATCACGTCAGGCTTTACTTTGGATGGCAGTGGCGCACAGGGTGCTACACCTTGCTTAACCCTTCTAATTGTTTCCTAAGAGATAGAGAATGAAGATAAACACTGTACTCACATTCCTGATATTCTTTATCAGAAGGACTTCTTGAAGAAGAGTCCCAAGAAAGCCCTCATCCCCCACACCACGATATAAATGGTCTCTTACCTGAACTGGAGTTCTCTGCTGATGTAGATGAACTCTTACCTGAATTGGATTTCTTAGAAGATTGAGCACTCGAAGGAGAGGTAGATTTTCAATGTATTCAATTTCGCCCAGCTCAGCAATCTGTTTAATCAAAGAAACAAAATTTTATCACAGACTGAACGCACAAAGATAATAGAAAGCATAATATACAAGGAGCTACTTTGGATCCTTTAAATTCAGCTTATTCTAAAAATTGCTCTGTTGACTATCCAGCTTTTTAATGAGAATTCCACAAAGCTACACAGAACAAGAGATTTATTGCATGCCCCTTCATAAATGTGAACACACGCAGCCACATTTTTTTCTCCTCTCTGGCTAGAGAACAGTGAGGTGTTCCTTACCTCGGCCACGTTTATTTTAAGGCAGAAATAAAATAGTATGTAGAGTCAGATAAAACAGTACAAAAAATACATGCAAGGGCTTGCTGGTTCTCCACACGCCGCTCCCCGCCACCCTTCCTAGGCCCCCAGTTCCCCAGTCTCCCTCCCTAGCACTGCTTCTGCTGGTCTGGTTATTTGTGACTGGTGAAGCTTTCTTACTGCATGTACATGTGTAGCTCTATCATTTTTTTCCAATAATTATTTTAAGGAAAGAAAAACAGAAGACTGTATGTATGACATATTTCTCGACGAGGGTGCTCACCTTAAAAATTTTGCTAAACTGTACATTGATGTTTTATACTCTCTTCTTTGTAGGTTGTTTCACAACTTTCAAAAGTAAGAGAAAAAAAGGTTCCTTCATCTAAGCAAGGATAGAGCTTAGGTTGCCACGTGCCTGAATTTTCCACTAAAGACAAACACTTTTACTCAAATTTCCTGTAATAGCATAATGATAATTTTATTTCAAATAGAAATATTGAACTTCTACAAAAAAAATTAATAATCACGTTTCATTTCTATTTCTCCCCAAGTCATTTCTGCATGCTCTGTGAAAGCACTCCGACAGCAGAGTCACTGATAATTTCTGAGTTAACAAACCACAAAACGCGGCTGAAATGTAAACTATTCCCAAAGCTGAATCGGGGCAAGAACGCATGCACCATGTTCAAAGGATGTCATTTTCAAAGATATAATATGAAAGGTAAATTCTGAGTTACAATATACAACCTGCGCACGTGAATCTACTTATGGAAACGCTATGCTATTAAACACAGCTTTTTCCATAAGATGACCAGGCTGCCCATTTGACTGCCGCTGTGATCACCTACAAAAGGAGCAATTTCTTTTTATGTTGCGGTATTCAGGAAGGTGGAAAAGTAAACGTGGTTCACGCTTCTCAGCCAGGACGTTCAAACTGTGGACTGATTTCCCTCTAGCAATCAGCTCTTGCGCTGGGACCTAACACAGATGTTGGGAGGAGCTGTATGCCTGCAGTTGACGCGTGTCACCAGCAAGTCCTGGCCATGTGCACTCACAGACGTGGCTGGTGAGCGTGGAAG